CCGGGAGGCGGGCGGTGGCGAGGGGGTGGATGGCGGCGGTGCCGCCGGTGCCGGCTCCTCAGCCAGAGCCCCTGGGGGAGGCTTTTCTTCCCGCTTCTCTCGGAGGCAGAGGACAGTCTTAAGTACCAGTTACAGCGTCCAGGAGCTGGTCATCTCCAAACTATCTCCTGTCACTGGTGTGGGTAACATAATGTGATTGCTCCTAGGGGAGATTTCCAGGCATCCCTATAGTTGACCCAGCTTCGAGTGAGGGAGTTGGAGAAGATGATCTCCAGAGGTCACTCCCAACTTCAGCCATTGTATGAGTCTGTGATTTATTCACCTTGAACGGTTTTAGGGCTTAGCAGTTCTCCCCAGAGACAGAGCGAGGCAGACACAGTCTCTGCCTAACAGTTCAGTATCCAGGTGAACTGGATATCTTCGAATACATGGTTTCAAAAAACAGGTAACTTGAGCTGGTACTGTAGAACTGGGAAGTTGGGGAGGTCGGTTTGGGATCAGCACCATTTGGGGCAGACTGATGGTTCACTGACTCCCCAGTTTAGAGCAGTTGTTAACATGGGGAAACCCTTTTAGGAGGTGAAGGCAGTGACCCTGATGTTACTGCTTGAGTTGACAACTTGATGTCTTCATGTAAGAGCCTTGTTAATTGCTGTCCCCTCAGATTGCACCAAGGCCTGGCTGCTTTCCCTTCCACTTGCTTTTGACAGCTGTGACTTACAGCTTTAAGATGGAAGCTACACTAACAGCTAGCCAGATCAGGCAACGATTTATTGACTTCTTCAAGGACAACAAGCACACGTATGTGCACTCTTCTTCTACAATCCCCCTGGATGACCCCACGCTGCTTTTTGCCAATGCTGGCATGAATCAGGTAGGCTCTCCACTCTGGTACTGCGGTTCTTATGAACATTGCCTCTAGCAGTTGAAATCTATGAAGCTGTCTGCAGAGCTTTTGGAAAGCCCGCTCCTTTGTAATAAGCTCCTCCTGGATGTCTGAATTTACCAATAGTTTCTTAAGCTCTAGGTGGAGTCTAAAGCCTCTTGCAGCCTCTTGGATGGCAATGCATTTGCCTTTCTCCTCTTGGGTAACCCCTTTCCAGGTGTGATTGGCTCTGTAAACACTTCAATTTGCAGGGAATTCAATTCTCTCTCCACCTTTCGGTGGCTGGTCTCTGGGCCGAGCTTCCTCGCCCTGCTCTGATCTCACTTTAGTGAGGTTAAGATTTGGTCCTTTGTATCCTGAAGGCAGAGTTTTCAAACAAACTAGCAAACTCTTCTCTGGATTGTTGGAAAGTCATTGCTGTTTTCATAATCCTCTTTCTCGTCACAAAGAGGTGGCTGGGGCATCTGCTGGAGTCCCCTGCTCTGTTGCAAAGTTGGCAGAAACACTGGGAGAGGTTCCTGTGTCCATTGGGTTGACTGTGCAGCCATGGGAGCACTGCTGGTATCCCTTCCTTGACCCTTGGCACCACAGCTGGTGCTGCAAATAGTTGCATGAAGAATCCTAGCATGAAGAATCCTAGCACAAATGACTAATAACTTACTTCTTTGATGAGTGGTTGAGGCTGGGCTGCTGAAAGTGCTCCACAGGAAGTCAGCACAGTTTTCGCTGACTTTATTGCCAGCTGGGAATCGGACTACTTTCAGTCCCTATGGAAGTCCTGGGGCTTGGTATGCTCCAGGAACATGTGTATGTCCTGAGTTACAGACAGTTTTGCACCTTCTTCCGCAAGGGAGACAGCAGGCTTGGTGATTCTGAATGCTAGTTCACGTATGTCCAGGCTGGTGACATACCATGAGGTGGATGACGCTCACTGTCTTGCTGTTGCTTGCAACATTTGAAAATGAGCTTATGATGCTTTTCTTGGTTTAGATTTCTCTCCTCTTTCTCCTCACAGTTCAAACCCATCTTCCTCAATACTATTGACCCCTCACACCCGCTGGCTAAACTGAACAGAGCTACTAACACTCAGAAGTGCATCCGAGCTGGGGGCAAGCACAATGACCTGGATGATGTGGGAAAAGATGTCTACCACCACACCTTCTTCGAGATGTTGGGGTCCTGGTCCTTTGGGGATTATTTCAAGGTAAAATTGGCAGACCTGAATCTTTTGCACAAAGTTACATGTCTCCACGAACTCACCAGAGTGTTTGTCCTACAAATGTACCAAGAGGAAAAAAAAAACCTCGACTCAGAGTGGTTCCCAAGGCATGCTGGGCTCCTTTGGAATAAATGAGCTTAGAGGAAAAACCGCACCCTGCAGGATGTTTTGAGATTAATTTCTTATCGTTTACAAAGCTGTTTATGTTATTGCTGCTGGTTTGGAGTCTTCAGGTAGAGGTGTTAGTCACTGCCCTGGAGCCATGGGAAGCTGCGTCCGCTGTGACTATGATGGACCTCAAACAGGAGTGATCATAAGGGGATCACAGAGGGGATTGCTTCACAAAGGGAATGCTAAGAATACAGCATAGTAGCAGATTTCAAAGGGTTTTTTTAGGCAGAAAACCTGCTAGGGGCTAAGTTGGCTGCATCTGGAAAGCCACGTGCGTGTTCCTTGAGCCCTGTGCGCTGCATATATTAGTTTATGTATTTCTTACAACAAAAGTCTGTAAGTTCTTGGCTGTTTCCTTTGTAGAGAGCTGCTCTGGTCCATCTCCTGTCTGGTAGACCTGATAGCACAGGGAGGCCTCTGGAGAGACTTGGCTGAAATGTTGTGCAGAGGCTAGCTTCCTGATCTTCTGAATGGCCCTAAGTCAGGCGTGGAAGGTTTCTGCATGTTTGAGAGACTTTCTGGTTAGATTGCACTCACCTAGTGAGTACAGCAGCCAGTACTCTGCATAGGCAGGCATTGCATGTTGAGGAGAAGCTCTTTGCTTTCACTTGCTCACGTCATCTTTCCTTCTCTAGGAACTTGCTTGTAAGCTGGCACTGGACCTTCTCACCAAGGAGTTTGGCATCCCTGTTGAAAGACTCTATGTCACTTACTTTGGTGGAAATGAAGCTGCAGGACTGCAGCCAGACCTGGAGTGCAAGCAGATCTGGCTGGATTTGGGGTAAGGTCCTTCAAGCAAGGAAGCCGCATGTTTTGATGCGTCATAGGGAAGGTATCAGCTGGGCAGTGCTGGAGGCTTCTTCTGTGGCTTGAGGAGGCCATATGTCTCTGGGTCTACTCGTCCCCAGCTTTGGTGCGCTTCTGGGTGTTGGTAGCTCTGCCCGGTTTAGCCAGCAGGTGCAAGAGGTCAGTAGTATTGAGGAAGGTGGGTTTGAACTGAGAGGAAATCTAAACCAAGGAAAACATCTGGGACCTATGGTCATACACTCAAATTGCCAGCTTTATCTTGACAGGCATTTCCTCACGTCAGGAAATCTCTCATTTTTCACAACTTATTCAACCATCTGCCTTTGTTCAGAGAAGGGTGGCATGCCTTATGTGGCAGAGTACTTGTAACAGGAAGTTTTAGCAAAATTGGCATGTCACAAAAAATGTTTGCAGAGTGGTGGAGCTGCAAAGCCA